CTCTAGTGGATTGCTCGTGGCTTGTGTGATCCTCATCTTATGTTGGTTGTGCGGCACCCTATTGAGGGTTTGGCGTGTGATGCCAATTAGCGCGTGAACCTCCAAGTGAGTGAATCGCCACAACGAGGAGTAGCTTGCCGGCAAGCAAGTGAACCTCGGTAAAAATCATTGTGTTCATCATTTGATTCTGAGGTGATTGGTCTTCATTGTTATTCATTCTTGTGATTGATTGGCTCCTTCCTCGACACGGCAGTATAACCCTCTTGATCAATCTCTTTACATTTACCGCAAACTAGTTGTCAAGCTCTTTAGTGTAGCTAGTCGTGAGAGCTTGTTTGCTTAGTTGGTGTGGCTCTTTAGTTAGCATTTGAGAGCACACTAACATAGGGTAGTGTCATAACTATTGTGTGGATAGATACTATCTAACTAGAATTGTGGTAGGTGGCTTGCATTTTGAGTAGGCTAGCGCAACACTTGCTTCGCCTCATAATTGTCTAACTACTTTGTTAAGTGTTGTTGTAGAAATTTTATTAGGCTATTCACCCCCCCCCCTCTAGCCATTAGGACCTTTCACCCACAGAGTCCCTTAACTCCCTCTGTCTCACTCTGTTTTGGTCTCCCCGCATCACCGTCACTCCACCACAGCTATTGCTCGCAGCCATCCACCTCTGCTTGATCTTAGCCGTCGTAGATGGCCATGCTACGTCCGCCGTGTTTCCCTCTAGCTCCCGGTGCAAACCCCGAGCCAAATAAAGCTCCATAGGTCTTTTCCCCAATTTCTCTGACAAGAAATTGCCTTTGTCGGCTAAGTCGCCACCGTCTGCTACTGTTCTGGCCAGCGGTACTCCCCCTCCCCTTCTCTGATATAATCTACACCCTTCATTTCAGATCTAATGGCCACCAGAGGCTAATACCTCTTCGCCTATCTTTTTTTCAAAAGAGCCCTTGGGTTTCCCCATAATTCTGCCCGTCATCCCTGCACTTCTTCTAAAGAGCCCCTGCCCTTTCTCCTATTTGTGCCCGCAGTCCTTGGCCGGTTTAAAATCAGATTTTATTTATTTTAAATTCGAAAATCAAGTTTCATCTATTTACAAAACTGTCACTATCTTCATTAGGCCATATCTTCTTCGTTTTAACTCTGATTTGACCCGTTCAAGTTACGTTAGGTTTGTAATTCCATAATCTACATATTTATACTACTGTTAGGTATGTTTTCAACTTTTAAAATTCAAGGTTAGATTAAATCTACTGTGTTAATAAAGGAAATCTTGTTTAATTCGTAACTTTTTCGTTTAAACTCTGATTTTCGTGGTCTTCGCGTCTGTGTGTTCGTAGTAATGTGTAGAACATCTTTAAATCCTTTTTACTTGCTATTTCATATGTTTGGTGTACTATTCTAATTTAGATCTATTATTTTCTTCGTGTATGGTTGCATGGATGCTTGTGTGGTGCTCTATGATCATGTCCAGTCGGTAAGCTATACGTGGTGAATCCAGAAGCAATCCTTTGAAGCTTTGGACTAAAGAAGGATCTGAGTTTAAGGCAAGTATAGCATGGGATCTTCCTTGTTGTCCTATATACCTTTAATCATCTAATTCATACTGCATGTGTCTATCTTGATTACCACTAAAGATTTCCTAGTACTTTGTAACCTTGTGCCTTGATACCTACGGGTTATTGCATTGGGTAGTATGATGCTAGTGCTCAACTACAACCATGATCTTATAACTTGACTAATGGATTATGCAATAAACACTAAAAGATGCTTTTTAGCAACATGGAACCAGGGGGCTAGAGCATTGGGCTATTTTTATGGTGCTCTGGATTCATCTCCCTAAGGACTTATCTGTAAGCGAACATCCGGGACTTATAGCACAACTGTGAGGGCTACATGGCTCTGGCTTTAGCTCAGTATGAGGACCTTTTCTAGCTTGTTAGTGGTTACCTTTATTGGCGTAAGAATGGCTTGATGAATCGGATATAGGACAGCCTCTACTCTTATGTATATAGCCGTGATGGAATTGTGTCATTCAACAGGGGGGTTCCTACATCTATTTGCCGAGTGAATCTAATGACCCTAACTTGTTAGACGAACCTTTAAAAGGCTTCATAGTGAACCCTGCCGACCTTCCTTGGTAGTGGGTCAAGAGGCTGATCACCTCGGGCGAAAGGGTAAATCACGACTCACAGTGAAAGTGTACAACCTCTGCAGAGTGTAAAATTGGTATATCAGCCGTACTCATGGTCATGAGCGGCCTTGGACCCTTACGAAATAGATGATGAACACTGATGATACTGATGATAAAGATGCTCATTAATGGTTAATTGTTTATGTTATTCATTATTCATGTTTACCTGATTATGTGTTTATATGGGCTTGTGAATAAACTTGTTGCCGCCCAATTGATAAAAGATGACTCATTAAAAGCTAATCGCAGTTAAACCAGTGTCAGCCTTTTGAGCCTCATGAACCCCATGTTATATTTGTTGAGTACGACACGTACTTACGCTTGCCTTATTTTTTCAATTATTTGGATAAAATCCCGGATGGGTACCAGATTGTCAAAGTTTGGAGGAATTAGGCTTGTGATCAACCAGTCAGTTGTCCCTATAAAAGTGGAGTCTTCACCTAAAGATCGGAGTTGTCTTTCCGCTGTCTAAACTCTGAGGTTGTATTCTTTATACCAATACGCTATGTAATAAGCATTGTCATGATATTACCCTTATTTGTAACTATATGTGAGATTTGACTTCCTGGGTTCACATATGGTGTATATCTGGTTTTGTTCTTAAAACCGGGTGCTACAGAGCAGAACCTTTATTATACTATCTATGTACCGCTTGTGTTAACTCATCAGTTGACACAGTTATTATGTTAGTGTCGAGCATTGTTATTATAACAAGTAATCTTCGTTGTGGACATGATGAATGATGTGTATTGATTAAATCTGTAGGGTGTGTGTTAGTAAGTTATTAAGGCCCAGCTGAATTAGTAAATACATTGTGAAACCGGATGCCATCACCGCCTCTATTCGTCTGATGCGGCAAGGGTCAATAGTGTATCACCGCCGAATCGTTTAGTAACCCGACACAAACTAAAAGATCATCATGGGCGGATCGTACTGCAACGTGACGGTGACTATGCCCTATGACCAGACGGTTCATACGCTGAAGCGACGGCGATGTTCACCTCGACACAGCTAGGTCGTGCTCCAATGCAACGGAATAACGATATGATCACGGACGGATTATAAGCCATGCAGCGGTGTTAGTGCATACCCACATAGGCGGATCGTACTCCAATGTGACGGAAGTAAGGACCTTAACACGGACGGATCATAAGCCCATGCGGCGGTGTTAGTGTACACCGCAGACGGTCTCAGATGGTGACGGTGAGGGCTATGATCATCACTGTCGACAGCTTACTACCGAGGCCAAAATTGGACTGCGATGGGGGTTACGACGTGGTTGTGAAAGGTCCGAGTGTAGTAGTGATTGAAATCGAAAGGAGCAAGTTTGGGGCTAGTCTGCTGACTCCGTCACGTCGGAGGAGATGGCGCTGCAGAACCTCATGGCGGTGGACATGCTCAGTCTGCGCGTGTTCGTGGGACTCCTCTCGTTGGACTACGCCACACCATGCTCCCAGCGTACGTCGGCCATGGAGGTGGTGCCAGACTCCGTCACGTCAGAGGAGATGGCGCTGCAGGACCTCGAGCAAGACTCCGTCACGTCGGAGGAGATGGCACCGGAGGACTCCATTTGCTAATGTCTCGTCTTACAGACTCTTATATAGCCATTCTTTCCTTGAGAAGAATGTTGCACAATGGTTCCAAATCAATAGGGAAAAACACAGTGCCATGCAAAATTCTAGTCCGTCACACAAAAATACCTACCCTGCAAGGGATGGAATCTTGCTCCTCTTTTGCACTCACTACGCTGGCCAGCACAGTTGCAAACGTTTGTTGAATGGGATATACCCGCAACCCTAATTAATAAGGATAAATAGGGAAAGTATATCCTAATTAATAACTCCTTGGTATGTTAAATCCTGCCCAAAATGACCTAAATTACTAGTATGAACTATGGAGGGAGTAAATGATTTGTTGCGTTGTACACATGCACCAGATTGGGTAAGAGAAAGCAATGGAACCTTTTTTCTCGTAACATGTGTTGCATCCACGCGAGGAGCTTAACACCCGCTCCCAGCCTCTCTTCTAAGAGCAAGTGTAATAACAGACCGTAAGCGAGTTGTACGCTGAGGTGGAGGAGAGAAATGAAGTGAGCTATAAGCTTACCGACGACTTAGACATAAAAACTAAGAAACTTTGGGTAAAGTAAATTTTACCCATAAGGACACATGCTCTGCTGCTGTAGACCACAAGATTCACACTAAGATTCGTGCCTAGCAGAAGTGGCCCTGTTCGCTTGAACTACTTCAGCAGTACTTTTCAGCGAATGAATAATATTTTTCTCTCACAACGAGTAGTTCAAAATAGCAGGGCATGTACCCTTAGGGGCAAAAAAAAACTGCATTCAGAAACTTTATGAGAGTGACAAGTGGATTATAAATTAACAGTGAAGAGCTAATTATTATATAATAGGTTAAGAGGTATGCTGTAAAGATTCTTAAAGCTCGCAGCAGGTTGTATTATTAGTTTGCTCTAACGTGGCTGCTTTCGTATGACGTGGATCTCTTCTCGCCGGCTGAAAAACGCTTAGTATACTTGCTCTAAGCCTTTTCAAAAAGTACAGGCCCAAGAGACGCGAGTGTGGCCTGGTTATTAATCCTAAACTTTACTCCAACCAAAGACGAGCGGTAATATAGAATTCCCCGCCAAGACAAGACCCAAGATCGCCGGCGACTGCTCTGGTCCGCTGGCAACGGCGGCCGCCCCAATGACGGCGGGAGGAGAGGACACTAAGCGAGCGACAGTGCGGAGGACACGGACGGATGGGGCCGGCGGCGGCGGACCCTGCTGGTGGTGAACCTGGCGTCCATCATGGAGTGCGCCGACAAGGCGCTGCTGCCGGCGGTGTACCGGGAGGTCGGCGCGGCGCTTCACGCGACGCCCGCGGGGCTAGGCGCTCTGACACTGTGCCGCTCCATCGTGCAGGCCGACTGCTACCCGCTGGCCGCCTACGCCGCTGCGCGCCACAACCGAGCCCACGTCATCGCCGTCGGGGCCTTCCTCTGGGCCGCCGCCACGTTTTTCGTCGGAGTATCGGACACCTTCCTACAGGTAATTAGCTGCTTTCCGCTGCTGCTTTACAAGTGCTGTTTGATTTGTTCCTTGCCTCTTGCTTCCATGCTGTTCCTTTGAAATTTGCACTGTAGATCTTCTCTGGTAGACCGGTACAGAACTACATATGCACAGTGGATCAGCAGCAATGTTTAAAATAGCGGGCTATTGAAAATAGCGGCAATTTTTTTTTTTCAAAAGCTATGCAGCTATAGCGGCGCTATGCCAGATAGCGTTTTTATAAAAAAAAACATGAAAAACACCAATAATTGATAAAAAACATGGCAAATACGAAATTCGATAAACACAAATATGTTTCTAACCACAATTCTAAGTAACATTATCAAATACCAAATGACATTACAACATGATTCATGAAAGTTTAACCGTCCAAAATACCAAATTAGTAGCAAATGATAACTAATAAGTAGAAAATCGTCGTAGTGTTTAGCGGCGCTATAGCGGCAAATAGCGGCGTAATAGCGGCAAATAGCGGCGAAAGTCATCATAGCGTTAAAAAGACCAATAACTTAGCGGCAGGCTTCTCCCACCGCTATAGCGTGGCTATAGCGCCGTTGTAGCCTGCTATTTTTTTCCATGATCAGCAGAGTCTGGACAAGTGCTCATTGACAACCAACACTTGTATGAATGTTCAGATTGCGATCTCACGCGGCCTGAACGGGATTGGCCTAGCTCTGGTGGTGCCATCGATCCAGTCACTGGTGGCCGACTCCACCGATGAGGCGACGCGCGGCTCGGCGTTCGGGTGGCTGGTGCTCGCCAGCAGCCTCGGGTCCATCTTTGGCGGTTTCGTCGACCTGCTCCTGGCGCAGACCACGGTTCTCGGCGTCGCCGGCTGGCGTGTCGCGTTCCACCTCGTGGCGGCCATCAGCGTTGCTGTCGGGGCCCTGAACTGGTTCCTCGCCGTGGATCCCCATTTCCCGCCGACGAGCGAGAGCGTTGACGTTCCGGCGGTCGGCAAGCGGCCCGCCACCGCGCGGCAGGTGCTCGCGGAGATGATCGAGGATGCCAGGCTCGTGGTGTGGATCCCGACGTTCCAGATCTTCGTGGCGCAGGGGGTCAGCGGCTCGTTCCCTTGGTCGGCTCTCTCCTTCGGGACCATGTGGCTGGAGCTGATCGGCTTCAGCCACGGCGACACCACCATGCTCATGACCATCTTCTGGGTGGCCAGCTCCCTCGGCGGCCTGCTTGGCGGAAAGATGGGCGACGCCCTCGCCGTACGGTACAAAGACGACGGCAGGATCGTCCTGTCCCATATCAGCGCCGGCTCGGCAGTTCCCTTGGCCGCCGTGCTGCTGCTGGGGCTCCCCGAGGACCCGTCCGCCGGCGTTGCCTACGGCGTCGTCCTGTTCGTCATGGGCGTCTTCATCTCCTGGAACGGTCCGGCGACAAACTTGTAAGCCATAGCCATTCATCGCATCCAAATGTTCTTGTAATTAGTATTCTGGAACGGAATGATGTGAAACTTTTTCAACTCGATCTTGCTCAATCTTGCTGCCCTATCATGGCGGAGATCGTCCCTGAGAAATCAAGAACCAGCATATATACATGCCCTCGACGGGACATTGGAGTCCGTGCTAGCATCCTTCGCGCCTCCGATCGTGGGCCTCCTAGCTCAACGTGTGTTCGGCTACAATCCAGACGACAAGGGGAAGAGCGTTCAGCGGGATCGGCAGAACAAGGCCTACCTGGCCAAGGCGTTGTACACGTCCACGGCCATACCATTCATAGTCTGCACCTCCATATACTCGTTCTTGTACTGCAGCTACCCCAGGGACAGGGACCGTGCGCGCATGCAGTCTTTAGTGGAATCGGAGTTGCGACAGATGGAGGAGCAAGGATCTTCTTGCCCGGAAGACGGCAATGGACATCGGGACGATGGTCCAATAGCTAGTGTTACCTGTGATAGTAAGGAGCTGCGTGAGGCCGAGATGGATACTGTGAGATTGTTGGCAGACCATGACCATGAACCGTGAGATGTAGGAGTAATAATTAAGACATGCTCGAGAATCGAGACAACTAACTGAACATGTCATTAGAGCGAGGCTTACAGTGCAACCTACCGTTGATGTATATAAACTTACTATCAATCTATCAGCCTACTTATATAGTGGTTAGCTCACCTATGACCTATTTGTTTCTTACTTTTTTTTTTAGTTTTTCGCATAAGCTGGTTATAAACTTAGGACCCGTTTTTATTCTTTTCTCTCATCTTTCCTTTACCTTAGCATACAAACGACCTATAGTCTCTTATTATACTTGTTCTTAATTAAATCTATGTGGCTGAACAGAGACGATATATATGACCTAGAGATACATATTAGAACGAGCTTGTCCTAATGTGTCAAAGTTAGAAAGTGTGTTAACCCTACAACAGGTCCATATTAACCGTACAATAGCTATGGTCCATCCAAAGTAGGAACGAATGACGTGTTCATGTATTTCCATATGTTGAATGGAAATGGAGGTTACCTTAGGTAGAAAAAGGGTGTTACCGTACAACAGCTTGAATGGATCCCTTGGAAACAGTAAAGATATATATACAACATGAATTCAATCTGATAGCAATCCAAATTTTGTTAAATTATAGTTCAGAGAGATTAGTGTCCTTGCCCTCGTTGTTGAGGCTAATTATGGTTTTGCCCTCCCTTTTGCAGCTGTGGTTTTACCCCCTGATTTAAAATGTACACATCATTCGTTCCTACTTTGGATGGCTGTTAAATGTACCAGGTATGATTAAAAAGGAAAAAAAAACAACAATATGTGATTTTACTATTGTGTTTCGAAATCCAACGTGGTGGGTTTCCCTACTTTAAATGGATTTTAAGTGTACCTATATTAATCAAATAAAAAATATAAAAATAAGAGAGACACATGAGAAAGGACTAAAGGACCCTCACGCTAATGCAGACGGGCTCTTTGCCGAGTGCTTAGGGCACTCGGCAAAGGCTTTGCCGAGTGCCGCACTCGGCAAAGAGCAGTCGGCAAAGAACCCGTCGGCAAAGGTTTCTTTGCCGAGTGCCACATATCGGGCACTCGGTAAAGCCTTTACCGAGTGTCACGTCAGCACTCGGCAAAAAAAAATCCGACGTCAACTCTGACGGCCTCTTTGTCGAGTGCCACCTCAGCGGCACTCGGCAAAGAATTTTTTTCTTTTTTTTGAAAATTCTTTGCCGAATGTCATACTCTTGCACTCGGCAAAGAAATTTTTTCTTTTTTTAAAAAAACAAATCTTTGCCGAGTGCCATGGCTCTGGCACTCGGCAAAGCTGGGAAATTGGGTCTCTGCTTCCCAGCTTTGCCGAGTGCCATGGTCACGGCACTCGGCAAAGCCCTCTTTGCCGAGTGTGGCACTCGGCAAAGAGGGGGAAAATGCTATTTTTTTCTTTTTTGCTTTTCATCAGCACAAACAAAGAAATCACATATATATCAACACATAGCACAGGATATATCACATACACATCCATATTCTATCACATACACATCCATAACCCATCACATACGCATCCACCATCCATAATACATCACATACAAATCCATTGTCCATAATCCATCACATACATTCGCATCATCCATGACAATATCCATCACAATATATATATATATATGTCTCTAGTAGTAGTCCAACATAAGGCTAAGTCTAACACAAGTCCATGCAACATGAAAAGAAACAAATAAACGGTACCTACTGCCAGCCTCCCCACCCGGAGTGTGAACTGCCACCTTGAGGAGGGCCAGTTGGCCACCCGGCCTGTGGAGAAGGGCAACCTTGAGGAGTCGGGTTCGAACCCGCCGACTGTGGCTGCACAAAGGATAAGCGAATTCATGAGTATCTATAGGAGGGCCGCACAAGCTAAAGGAATAAACAACCATATATACTCACCAGAGTCCCTACAGGAGGAGGAGTTGCCACAACTGGAGCGAGCAGCGATTGGGGCACGACCACACCTGGCAAGGCCTGAAGACTCGCCATGAAGCTGAACATGTCCTGCAGCCTCTGCGCCTCGGCCGCCCTCTGGGCTTGTACAGCCTCCATCTCCAGCCGATGGGCCTTCGCCTGGGCCGCCTGCTGGGCCTCCAACCTCCGCAAGTTGGCCTGCAACATTCCACCCGCAATGTTTAAACAATGCAAAGGCAAGGTAGATGTGTAAAAGCAATGAACGACAAATAAAACAGTACTAACCTGGAGTTCCGCCATCTGCTGCTGTGAGCTCTGCTGCCGAGAGCGTATGGGGAGGGAGGAGCTCGTGCTCCTTGCTCGAATCTCAGCGAGGATGGGAACAGAGGCGGAGTCGACTGTGCTGTCCGCCATCTAGTACCGGTCGTGCTGCTTCCCTCCTCCCAGCCTCATCAGGAGGTCTGTGTCCAGGGGTTGGGTGGCCGGATCAAAGTCCTCCCCATGGCGCTCGCGGGCCGCCGAGGTGTACTCGCTAAGCTTGCTGTAGACGCTCGCGTTGGTGTATGCCTCGGGCCCGTCCGTCGGGTTGTAGGTGACTTCCGGGGTCGTCGCCTTGCCCTTGTGTGCCAGGGCGTACGCCATGAACTCGTTGCATTCCTGGCCTTGGTGCGCCTGGGACTGCGAGGAAAACACAAAGATGATTACAAGTTGCCAGGTCCAGTCTAGCCTTAACATTGTCCTTTGACTTATTAGGAATGTCCATGAGTGTTGCAAAAAGCGCCTCGGCGATATTCTTTTCTGTGTGAATTACATCAATGTTGTGTAGAAGAAGAAGGTCATTGAAATAGGGGAGCCTAGTCAAGCCCGATTTATGAGTCCACTGGTGTTCCTCACCATATCCAATAAAACCACATTTCTCTTTATCATCTTTGAGAGCCTCTATCTCAGCACGGACCTCGGCACCGGTCATCATCTGAGGTGCAGGGTCGGTGACTTGAACCCCTTTCTTGAAGTTCTTGACGTCTCGTCTGAATGGATGGTCAAGAGGGAGGAATTGACGATGTTGGTCAAACGAAGAAAACTTGCCACCCCTCTTCAGCCAAGTAAACCTCACAGCTGTCTTGCATATTGGGCATGGGAACTTCCTGTGAACACACCACGCGTAGAATATGCCATACGCCAGGAAGTCATGCAGGGAGTAGTGGTACCACACATGCATTGTGAAGTTCTTCTTTGTAGCTCGGTCGTATGTCAGTACCCCCTTTTCCCAAGCAAGGATCAATTCATCAATGAGAGGCTCCATGAACAAACCCATCTTGTTCCCTGGGTGTCCAGAAATTATCAGTGACAATAATATGTTCTTGGGTTGAAACATGACGCCGGGGGGGGAGATTGAGGGGGATCACGAACATGGGCCAACAAGTGTATGGGGCCGCCAGCAATCCATAGGGGTTGAACCCATCTGTTGCCAGCGCTACACGTACATTCTGAGCCTCCTCGGCTTTACCATGATGTATGCCACCGAAATGGGTCCATGCATCGCCATCCGATGGGTGTACCATCTTGTCAGCATTGTATCTTTTGCCATGTTTGCGCCATGTCATCTGTTTCATGGACTCCTCTGTCATGTACAGCCGTTGGATCCTCGGTATGACAGAAAGGTACCGTAGGACCTTCGTGGGGATACCAAGCTGTTCCTTCTTGCCATCACTAGCGTCGACCTCCAGATACCTAGAGGATTTGCACTTTGGACAGTGCATTGCTTTCTTGTGATCTTTCCTAAATAGGACGCAACCATTCGGACAAGCATGGATGTGCTCATACGGCATTTTAAGGACACGAAGAAGTTTCTGTGACTTGTACAAGTTCTTCGGCAGAATGTGACCCTCCGGAAGTAGGGATCCAACAACTGCCAACATACCATCGAAGTTGTCTTGACTCATGCTACACTGCGACTTGAACGCCATTAGGCGTCCAATGGCATCTAGTTGCGAAACCATTGTCTTTTCGTGAAGGGGCTTCTGTGCCAAAGACAGCATATCGTAGTACGCCTTTGTGGATTCCTCTGGCTCATCCTCTAATCCTTCACCGAACCGTGCCTCCTGAAAGTCATCCATCCAGTCTGCTACCCTGGCATCTCCATCAAAAGCCTCGAGGCGTGGTCTCACCACCTCCTCTCTAATACGATCGGCTTCACCATGGTGGATCCAGCAGGTATAGTTTGGCGTGAATCCATACTTGCAAAGATCTTCCCCACGTTCTTCCTATTCTTTCTTACACGGTTGTCACATTTGCTGCAGGGACACGACATCCGACTCGACCCTCTAGCAGCCTCCCCAAATGAATGCTCCAAGAAAGCATTAGTCTTAGTCATTCATTCTAGGGTCATACTTGCGTGGCCCATGTACATCCAATCACGGTTCTCCATCATCTGGCATATACATATGTAAGCGAGTAATATAACCAGCAATTGCATCTGCACGGCGTTCCTACCATCTAATAGGTGAGGATAGGTCCTAATCCCACCCGCGGATACGTAGATGAGGTCAGTTTTAATGCTCCGCTCCTATCCGAGAGAGAATTTCAGCAGCACCTCCCCGCTGTTCTCCCGATACACGTCCTGCAAGGGAGAGTGTGTATCCGGAGAACAACAGGGAGGTGATGCCGAAAGTCTGTCTCGGACCGGAGCGAACCATGGAAACTAACCTCATCTACGCATCCGCGGGCTGTCCAAAATACGTGGACAATCCGAAAGAGATACGGTCGCAGATATGCAAAGATCTGCATACCTCCGACCGTATCTCTTTCGAACGGGAGTCCCCTAACTGGGCTACGTGACCATATAAAACATGCATGCAAAGGAGGAGGGGGTTATACCTAGGGTGGCGGTGGAGTCAGGCTAGCGGGGCAGTGGCGTGTCGGTGCAGTGGCGAGGCGATGCGGTGCAGGCAGACCAGCAGCGCCGACGAAGACGATCGGGGTCACTGAGTCCCTCCCACGGGTCCTTCTCCTACATAAAAAGGCAATAGGTTAGAATCCATTGAAAATTTCGGCAGCACCTCCCCTGCACGGGGAGGTTTCCAAAACCTGCAAGAAACGTAGGCGCGATGGCCAACAACCACATATATACCAAACATAGGCACGAAGGCCAACAAACATATATATACCAAGATGAGCCATGTACTTTAGTTCTCTTTCCATGCAGATGAAAGTATCGAAGTAGTACAACAAGTACTACTATCACTACAACTACTACTAACACTACTACTACTAACACTACTACTATCACTACTTACTACTAACAATACTACTAACACTACTAACTACTAACTACTACTACTTGCTAACTACTACTAACACTACTAAGTACTACTACTAACTACTACAGGTGTAGGGCATACCTTCGCGATGAGAATGGCAACAACGAGGGTCGGCGACGATGGCGGGGACGACCGCAGCGGCGTGAGGGTCGACGGGCCTAGGCCGGCACCTTCCTTCTCCTCTCCTTCTCCTTCTCCTCCTCTCTTCTCCCCTTCTCCTCTCTTCTCCCCTGCCTCCTCCTCCTCTCTTCTTTAGTGGCCGCCGAGGGGGGCGCGTAGGCGGGGGAGGTGGCTGCCAAGGGGGTCAGCGCGGGCGGTGGAGGCCGGGCGGGGGCGGTGGAGGCCAGGCGGGGGCGGCGGCCGCGCGAGGACCCGGCGCGGGGAGGCGGACGTACGTGACAACGTGCTCGAAACTTTTTCAAAAATTTTCCACGGCATACGCATACGATATGGCGACAACTCGACAAGTTTCATGATTTTCGGAATTCGTTCGCATTTTATACAATTAAAAAAGCACTCCCACGCAAGTTGACGACGTTGCCCCCGTGAGCACGTTGATCGAAATTTCGAGACAGTTCCTGGATTTAGCCTAAATTTACACTCAGAAACAAGGATAACATTTTTTGAACGAATGTAATCCATTATTCGATGCACCTGCAGTTCAAACTTACATTTTCTGGAAAAATTCAACAAAACAAAATAAACTATAGAAATATGCCAAAAGGCAATAAAAATGTCCCAAATTTAAACATGTTATTTGTGGAAGTGTACTAAAGTTTCAAAAAAATTTGGTGGCAAAAAAACCAAAAAAAAATTATTTTGCCGAGTGCCAAACGGGGAGCACTCGGCAAAGAGGACGCCGCTGGATGCCGTTAGGCCCCCTACCAATTTTTGCCGAGTGTCTGCCTTTGCCGAGTGCCAGGCACTCGACAAAGACAGCCTTTGCCGAGTGCAGATCTGTGCCAAGGCTTCTTTGCCGAGTGTCATATTTTGCCGAGTGCGGCGCTCGGCACAACATGTCTTTGCCGAGTGCCCGAAATTTAGCACTCGGCAAAGATTTTTGCACTCGGCAAATCACGTGTTTCCTGTAGTGTCACATGCCACACTCCACTACATCTTCAAATCTTTCCCAAGCTCTGGTGGCAAGGTAGTGGCCTATGGCATGTGGCATGAGCTGGAGCAGGAGGTGCGGACAGGTGAGCCCTGGCTCATAGCGTGTGGCGTGTCGATCGAGCAGGGCATGCGCGGTAGAGATCAACTTCTTCCCGATTGTTTTGACGCTTGTAGCCTCCGTGAGCCCTTGGCTTTGACCCCATCCCGAGACCTCAATACCCATGGGGGTGATCGGTACAAGCGCGGGCTTCCACGAGGTCAAAGTGACTTGAGTGTCAATTGGCGAGGCACAGCTACAGCATGGTGAAGCACAACATAAGCGCACAAATCCAGTGTAGGTGTCTAGCCATGACGAGGGCACATGGTCAAGCGTTTGACCTGTTTGGCTCTAGCCCTTTTGCTTGTTTATTTGCCGCACACTGTCACACTGCCATGGACCATTGCCATAAGATCGCCAAACAAACGGTTGGGCCTAGCCTAGTTCCAACCCATGGGCTTAGCAAGCCACCCAGACACAACATCAGGAAGTCATTCTCGGTATATTACGAATTCATTCTTCATCCATACATACACAAATCAAAATGAATCGAATTCATAGTTCATGCTATGCCGCTTTATGCTTCCGCACGCCAGCTAAGACCGATCGATGCGCTATCCAGGGCTCGGCCACCGAGGAAGCAAGAGGGAAGTTGGAAGTAGAAACCCTTGGCTTGTGCTCAGAGGAGACGATGATAAGAGAAAGAGCTAAGAGGAGAAGTCAGTGATGGTAGAAGAAGAGTGAATTAGGGTTTGGTTTTTTAGGACCAAAGGTTGTATATGGGATGAGTAACGGGACGCTTTTAGGCCACCATTTAATCAGGCGCGCCATGGTACCCAGCAGGCCCAGGCGAGGGCCCAAGCATATATGCCACACGCCATGGTCCGACTTGCATGAGCATGAGTAGGAGCAGATTAGGCCATGCCGCTCATGCTGACAAAATGGCCTCATGCCTTTTTGTACATCATCTATACCCATGTTTGGCACCCGCTTATTCCCTGTGGCCTGTGGTATGAGCACATGGTGGTTGGCTGCATCTCCTGATTAGATAGAACAGCAACTAGCAATGGCAAAGCTAACAGTTCGGTGTAGGTGTTAACCGCTATAATCATTCACAATTATTTCGAAATATGTGAGAATGCTATCAAATATTTGATTTGATGTCATAAATATGAATGAAATCACATGGTACTTAGAAAAATATGGGCAAATCCACATGGGCATACGGGTCTTCTTATAACTGAGTTAACACTGTTAAATGCTATAGACGGAATAGGGGCAAACTTAGACTTCATTTCAAAGAAGCAAGAGCAAATACACTCCATTGTAGGGGTATGAACATAAAGGGAGCATATTTAGTGCAAATCAACCTCTCCGTGCAAACCGTGCAAACCAACTGCGGGGGAGAGGTGGGTGGGGGGATTTGCAAAAGTGTAATTACGCCCGCTCCTAATTACACTTTTGCAAATCCCCCCTCCCACCTCTCCCCCGCAGTTGGTTTGCACGGTTTACACGGAGAGGTTGGTTTGCACTTGATACATTGCCGAACATAAAAGCCCCAATGATTTATGATGCTTCAAAGCTCAAACACTCGTAGAAGTATTCATCCCATCCTATAAGAGATACTTCCCTTTGACCTACATTTGGTCCAAGTTTTGGAATGTGCATATTTGTCTTACGAACATTTTTATTATCTCATATTTAGGTACTATGGCTATATTCTAATATGAAACAATTGTAATGGCTAAAGTTAAAACCTGAGTACTGAAAAAAAAATCCATGTGCATCAAGTAGTTATGGCACCATACTTTTTTCTTTGAGAAATAATTGCTACAATCTAAAATAATAACCTTGTGACCATCTCATTCGCAACGAAATGAAAATCTCAATAGTCAACACCAAGTTGATTGTGCGATGCTAAAACCATAACATATAGAACAACATGGCACAAATAATTTTCTCGTCGTTCAGCAAAAAAAAATAACTTTCTGCACAGCCAGCAATCGTGCGACATTTTATTATATTAGCCGCCAGCCGGTCCTAATCAGCTAATCTAGACACAACACGCACCTTTGCACACACACACAAAAAGACACAACGTGCCAAACACGAGAGACGAGACAGCTTGATCACTCCACACCATCCTTAGAGCATCTCCAAGAACCTAATAAATTCTTCCCTAAACCATGAAATTTTCCAGGCCGCTAAAAAGTATTGGGAGAATAAAAGAAGGATTTCTCCAACAGTTTTTAAAAAAACGCTCCAAAACTTTCTACGTGATTGTTTATTTTAGGTACAGTATGTTAGTTCAGTGGCATTTTTGTAAATGCCATCATCTTCTTCCTGAGAAACAAGCATGTACATAAAAGTTTCCATGGCTGGCTTCTTGTGGCTGTCCGGAGAGGAAAAGGACTCCGCCACGCCGGTGGTCTATACGGTACGGCGCTCCTCAGCACCTCGTTCGCAAATCATACAGGGCCAGAGCAGGTTGTCGGACCGGAAGCACGGCAGCATGAGTACTAGCGAGTCAGCGACGACGCAGCCACCACCTGGCTCGGCACTAGCCGCAGTCATGGCCTGGTATTGGGATTAGATGCACAGACGTACCGGGCCAGAGTGCATCCCGGAGCCCCCACTCCATCCTGTACAGCGCCGACACGACACCCTCCTTCCCCTGATCTGCCTCCATGTCGTACTCGATGGATAGGGAACGGAGGACCTCGCGGCGCCTGACGAGGTCGAGAGAGCGGTACCCATCGAAGAATCTATCGAGTGCCGCGGGGAGAGGCGAGAGGTGGGCGGAGGCACGGAGCAGGATCCGCGGTCGTGCAATCTCGCGTAACTTTGCGCGTGATGGCTTCGGTTTTTCTAAGTCCTAAAAGAGTAGAAGCTAGTATTAGAAGCTGTTGGAGATGTATATTTGTCAATTTTATTAAAAATCCTAGATTAGGAGTGTGTTACATGAACTCTCGGAGATGCTCTTATTACTGTATTCAGCTCCTATACTGTGTCTGTGTTACTGACAAGTGGGACCTGTGGGGAATCAGTTTACCAACCAATGGGAAGCTCCCCAACTACCTCGCCTAGCTCGCTTCTGCCTTTTGCCTGCTTGCCCAAGTCCACTCGCCAGCCTGACTGACTCGGTCACTGACATAACGTCCCACAGGTATGATGGCCCAAATGTCACTATGCTACACGACTACTACACTCGAACCAAAAGCGAGCGATGAATCTAAAAATTCTCCCGAGGAGAGACCCAGATCTCCGGTGGCTATTGGCTTGGCTATTTGCTTGCTTGCTGACCAAGGGCGGCCATTCCGAGCAGAGCGACAGCCCAAGGCGGAGCTGAGCATCCGGCCTGAAGAGGAGAGGCGAGAGCGTGGAGGTCCTCAGAAGCATGGGGCCGTCGGCGTGGCGGGAGGGGCGGCGGACGCTGGTGCTGGTGAACCTGGCGTCCATCATGGAGCGCGCCGACGAGGCGCTGCTGCCGGCGGTGTACCGGGACGTGGGCGCCGCGCTCCACGCCACGCCCACGGGGCTCGGCGCCCTCACGCTGTACCGCTCCATCGTGCAGGCCGCCTGCTACCCGGTGGCGGCCTACGCCGCGTCGCGCCACAACCGTGCCCACGTCATCGCGCTGGGGGCCTTCCTCTGGGCCGCCGCCACCTTCCTCGTCGCCGTCTCCGACACCTTCCTCCAGGTCAGCCGCCCGGCCGCCATTGGATATATTCCTTTGCTGCTTGTTCTATTCGTTACAAGAATACATAGCGAGTGCTGTGCTGCAGCGGTTAGAAAGATCAGATTGCATCAGGTATCTGTCTTTCGGTTTGGCTCTCAATCCCAATCTCCAACATTTTCCTGCTGTTAGTTCATCAGCCTCAACCAATTAAGTAGGTAAATTTTGCTTAAGGAGGCGGGTATTTTCAAGAAATCATGCCTTTATCGGGACTGCAGCTTGTGAAAAAGTATGCTTGAGGCCGTGAGTCAGGCCGGGAAAATGACAAACCGCCATTTGGCCAATCTTCCGTTTTCAAAGTAGAATTCGTGGTGGAGTAGGTGGAATTTTACACTTGACACTTGACTAAGTAACAACCTAGAAGCAATCGCTTATCATCTCTTAAATTGTTCCACTCGACGTATAATGAGAGGACAACGAAGTATTTCCTCCTCAACCGATGGTGACACTGATCACGTTTTAGACTTTCAGCATCCTTTCGACTAAAAATAGATGGCATTCAAGGAATTTCTTAATACACATTCTTTGGGATCATACAAATGCATTATTTCCATGTTTCTGATTATAACAGTATACTGACACAACATAATTTTACTCCATGGAGACACTACCTTCTTTCCAATTTTTAGACCAAACTAAATCCTTCTGTGCTCTTTTTCTTCAAAATTAACCTGCACAATTGGTTAAATAAATTTGGAAAATTTTGTTCCAAGGGGACTCAGTGCAGTTATGAAGTGCTTCTTTCTATCCATTATTTGTCTTCATACTCTCATTCCATGACAGTAATCTTAGCTGAACATATGGATACTGCTACAAAGGATTACTCATACTTTACTTCTTCTGCTCCTCCAGGTGGCAATTTCAAGGGGCTTGAATGGCATTGGTCTAGCTCTCGTCATACCAGCAGTCCAGTCGCTGGTCGCTGACTCCACTGACGACGACAACCGCGGCACAGCTTTCGGTTGGCTGCAACTGACCAGCAGCATAGGCTCCATATTTGGGGGATTCTTTGCCTTGATGCTGGCTCAGACTACAATCTTGGGGATTGAAGGATGGCGTATTGCCTTTCATCTCGTCGCAATCGTCAGTGTCATCGTAGGCATCCTCGTGTGGTTCTTCGCCGTGGATCCCCATTTCCCCACAAACAATGCTGCCTCACATGCTGCACCAGTCATCCAAAAGTCTGCACTTGATGAAGCAAGGGAGCTGATCATTGAGGCCAAGTCCATAATCCAGATCCCAACGTTCCAAGTCTTCGTCGCGCAGGGTGTCAGCGGCTCATTCCCATGGTCAGCACTGTCATTCTTGTCCATGTGGCTTGAGCTCATCGGGTTCAGCCACGAGGACACCGCCATTTTCACGACGACCTTTGCTGTCGCAGCCTCCATTGGTGGCCTTCTTGGTGGCAAGATGGGGGATTTCTTTGCGCAACGATATCCGAACGCCGGGAGGATCATCCTGTCGCAGATAAGCGCTGGCTCTGCTGTTCCACTGGCTGCCGTTCTTCTGCTGGGCTTGCCTGATAATCCATCCAGATCCAGTGGTGTAGCCCATGGACTCGTTCTGTTCATCATGGGACTCATCATCTCTTGGAATGGAGCTGCTACAAACTGGTACGCCACACATTTCAGATGTCACCTTTTTCAATTTTAAACGCTGGTTTCAAATCTTTGGTCTGTGTTACTGAAATGTGTCAGAAAAATGCCTTCTATTTGTGTCAATTGTTGCCTTCACGTACTCCCTCATGCCTCCTATGTGGAAAACTCTGTTGTGCAGCCCGATTTTTGCAGAGATCGTGCCCGAGAAGCAAAGGACAAGCATTTATGCTCTGGACAGGACCTTCGAGTCGATTGTAGCCTCGTTTGCGCCTCCTGTCGTTGGCTTGTTATCACAGCACCTCTATGGTTTCAAACCGGACGTCAAAGGGAGCAGCCCTGAACAAGACCGGGAGAACGCTGCGTCGCTAGCCAAGGCGCTGTACACGGCCATTTGCATCCCAATGGTTATCTGCAGCTCCATATACACGTTCATGTACCGCACTTACCCTCGAGACAGGGAGCGTGCGCGCATGCAGTCTATGATTCAGTCAGAGCTAGATCAGATTGAGCTGGGCGGTTCGAGTTTCGGATGTGGCGACGACAGGTTTGAGCTCTTTGAATCGGTGCACCATGGTGATAAGCCTGATGAGGTTGATGGCAGTTATGGTGCTGAAGAATCTGCTGAGGCCGATGCTGGCACTGAAAAACTATTAGGAAACCATGAGTTGTGACGAGCAAAAGAATCTTAGCTGCAATGACCGTTCATGTTGAAGAGGATATTCTACCGATTTTAGGAACTTGTAACACAACAATCAATATGATTCACTAAAGTGACCATTCTTTGTTCTTCCATATCTTCGTTATGCTGCTACTGCTACTGCTATGCTAGTATACAACATATCCCACTGACTTCGTGATGTACATGAGGGCACATCAATGTTGACAGAAAGGAACTATTTTTGAGTTATATACATATCAGCGGCACCAAATGCCCATCTAATTTAAACAGCGTTTGCTGAAACGTCAAGTTTAAAGTTCAACTCTCTGCTCCCTATAATAACTTCACGGTTCACGCAAATGCCAAATATTGAGGACGTGTTTGGCAAGACTCTAGCTCATGGATTCTCGTCTGGAGCGGCGGGAGCCTATCCAAAGTCCAAACACCAGATCCCTGGAGACTGGCCGCATCGAGGAATCGAGGATTATTTAGTAGTTAATCGTACATGTGCTGCAAAGTCTTTACTGCCCTTGAAAGGTTCCTCGGTCTCAATCTGCTCGCCCATCGCCGTTGACTACAAAGCACGGAGGTGGAAGTGGTGGCAGCACCGCAGCAGCACGCAATGGCGGAGCAGCAGGGCTGGAGGCAGCGGCGCTCACGGAGGACGACGCTGCTTCTGGCGTTCGCGGCGCTGGCCATGGAGCGCGCCGACGCGGCGCTGCTCCCGGCGGTGTACCGGGAGATCGGCACCGCGCTGCAGGCATCGCCCACGGCGCTCGGCTCCATCGCGCTGTCACGCTCCATCGTGCAGACCGCCTGTTATCCGCTCGCGGCGTACCTGGCGGCGCGCCACGACCGCCTCACCGTCATCGCGCTCGGCGCCTTTGTCTGGGCGACGGCCACCTTCCTCATTGGCTTCTCCACCACCTTCCCACAGGTACGCCGCCCGTGCACGTGCGCCGTGGCTGCCGGCTTGCCGCCAGCTTCCTCATCGCTTCCATCTTGCCTGCGGCAAAACTGAGATGTCTTGGGAGGAGTGCAGATGGCGGTGACGGCGGCACTGAACGGCGTCGGGCTGGCGCTGCAGATCCCGGCGATCTTTGCCTTCGTTGCTGATTCTGTCGATGGCGCCAGTAGGGGCATGGCATTCGGATGGCTCGCGGTGGCTGGCAAGGCCGGCACCGTGGCTGGCACCTCCCTCGGCCTGCTCATGGCGCCGACCACGTTCTTGGGGCTGCCAGGCTGGCGGCTCGCCTTCCTCTTGCTTGGTGTCTTGGGGGCCGCGGTCGGCGTGTCCATCCGCGCGTTCACCGCGGGCGACGGCGAAAGAAGCCGCGTGGTGACCCCGGCCAGCGTCAAGCCAGTGAGGCAGGAACTGCAGGAATTCGCCAGGGAGGCCAAGGCCGTGATGCGGATCCCGTCGTTCCAGGTCATCATCGCGCAGGGCTTGACCGGGTCGTTCCCCTGGTCGGCGCTGTTGTTCACGACGATGTGGCTGGAGCTCGTCGGGTTTTCCCACGGCGAGACGGCAGCGCTCATGACGCTGTTCAAGGTCGCCACGTCGCTGGGATCTCTCTTCGGCGGCAAGATGGGGGACGCCCTCGCCCGGCGGTTCAAGAACTCGGGCCGCATCGTCCTCTCGCAGATCAGCTCCGGTTCCGCGATCCCCCTCTCCGGCGTCCTCCTCCTCGCGCTCCCCAACGACCCGTCCTCCACGGTCAAGCATGGTGCGGCGCTGTTCATCTTGGGGATCATGGCCTCCTGGAACAGCACAGCTACGAACAGCCCGATACTCGCGGAGATCGTCCCGCCGAGGGCAATGACGACCGTGTTCGCGCTGGACCGGACGTTCGAGGCAGTGCTGGCCTCGTTCGCGCCCCCGGTGGTCGGCCTCCTCGCCGAGCGCCTGTACGGTTACAAGCTAAACCGCTCCGCAACTGGCGGCAGCGTAGACGAGCGCACGGCTGTCGACGTCGAGATGGAGCGGCACAACGCGACGTCACTCGCCAGGGCGATATACACCTCAATTGCAGTCCCAATGGCAATGTGCTGCGCCATCTACTCGTTCCTCTACTGCACCTACCCCAGGGACAGGGAGATGGCGCGGGCTGAGGCGGCGCGAGATAGAGGGGATTACGGGGATGGAGGATTTGGATCCGAGGACGAAGGCGATGGCGAGAGGAAGCTGCTGCCGCAGTGAGTTGCTGTGGTCACTGGTCAGGTGCGAGTGATGTGTCTCGTTACGCAAAATACTAAGACCCGTTCTATATTTGAGTACAGATAAAGAATTCAATATCTATTTTTGGTGTTCTCCAATGATAAGATCCAAAAAAGAACCATTTCTATAAAAAGTTCTACAGGAGAGAGGATACTCAGATTTGGTTTATACCTCTCCTGACATTTAAAATAGATCTTCTATATAAATATTCTGTTAAATGCTATAGATATTATGTTGAAAATCTATTTTGTGTGTGATCTCCTGTGGAGACAGCTAGAGACCGGCGTCGCCGGTTGCGGAAGGAATAGCCGCGAGACATTTCCTCCGGAAAAAATAATCGATGGGGCCCGTGAAGCAACCATGGCCACCCGTCAGGACGTGCGTCTGTGCGCATGTTACACATGACCACTTGCTTAGGAGCAGCACATGCGTCTGAACATGGGACACACTCTTAAATTTAGAAGATTACAACTCTCTGTGTTGGATGTTGTTGGATACATGAACGTAGACATAGATATGTGTCGTGAAACTTGTTTGTATCCATACTTCGTCCATAGGGACAGTCTCCAAAGTCCTAACTGAATCTATAGTTGGTAACCCATGATTATATACAACTAGCAGGAACCCCGCGCGTTGCCACGGGCGCAACAGAGCAAGCTCAAAAAAAGGAACCAAGTGGTCTGGCACAATTAGAAGTGGGATCATACTTATCAATCGACTGACAACATGATTCCAATAACAGTACGCTAACGTTCAAAGGATATAAAATATAGAAAGAAAGACTGACCATTGCACATATATAGTGAAATGGTCCTTATAAATAAGTGGGCAATGGACATGTTATTTTTGAATCTGAAAACCACTGCAAGCAGAGTAATCTTTGAATGTATCATAAATAATTTTAGGCTCCTATGAATCAATAATTTCATTCGATAGAAGATAAATTAGTTTTAGATTTACAATCTGAAGTGGCTAACATTCTTCATCGAGTCTTAGATTTACAATATGTAGTGGCAAAGTAATTTGTATTTTACAGAAAACAGTAAACTATCAACTTCTTTAAGGAATGGCCTGTTATTATGAAGCTTTTCTATAAAGGAGGAATTGAAAAGTAAGCTGACATGCTTACAACATACATGCAAATAAATGTAAATGAATTGAATGCTACACCCGAAAAACGCATGTATTTCCAGTTTGTGTTTGTCATTTCGCAGGCAGGCAAAGAGAGAGAAAATACAGTAGGATTTGGGAATAAGTAACAATCTTGAAGTCTTGCCTCTTTTTTTTTACCTCATCCAATGCCATCACTCAAAATTCATTCCCCAGTCTCTGTCTATCTGACAGAAAAACCTTCATCTATGAAAAGACAAATATGAGTTTTTTTATAGGAATAGGTCACAAAAAAATGAGGAACATAAGAAAGGATAATCGTTAAGCATAGCATGCCATCACTCAAAATTCATTTCCTAGTCTGTCTATCTGACAGAAAAACTTTCATCTATAAAAGGGCGTACCCAGTGCAGAGAACTCCCGCTCTGTGCGGAGTCTGGGGAAGGGTGTGAATAGCAAGCCTTACCCTCGCTTGTGCAATACGAGGAGACCGCGACTCGAACCCGGGACCTTCCCCTCACAGGCGGTAAGACTCTACCGCTTGCACCAGGCCCGCCCTTCAAAAACCTTCATCTATGAAAAGACAAATGAGTTTTTTATAGGAATAGGTCACAAAAAAATGAGGAACATAAGAAAGGATAATCATTAAGCATAGCATGTGTCTAACACAAAAACACGAAACAAATAAAGTCGAAGAGTAGACACGCAATAGCAGAGGGCAGAGGCACAGCATTACTTCCACCCTTGGTGCCAAGCCTAAAAGGTCAAAGTGACACCTGGTAGGCGAATTATGCTCATATAGGATCTATATTTTCAAAATTTTATCACCTCAATGTATTGCACCTGTAAATTAGCAAAATGTTCCTCCATAAAAAAAGGATCTATGTTCACAAAAAAAATAAAAAAAGGATATATATTTATATAAGAAAAAGATGGCACGAGTTAGTCTTTGCAACATAATCTAAGTAAGTCGATGAAATGTGCAGGCAGAGACATTGGCACTTGTTAGGATAAGGAAATATATAAAGAAGGCTTAACAGGCTGCATAAATCACAAGTGGCATTGCAATTGTTTGGAAAATAAGGCCAAGGTGTGAGTTGACTAAAAATAATATCACCAACAACCAATGGGAACTAAAAGTGACCAAAGAAAATACAAATAATACATTGTCCACAGACTATTTGGGTCATCTCCCATATGGCCAAGACTCAAGTTTCAACTTTGGAAGTGCATTAGGATGTCAACACATAGGAATGACTGGTATATCATAAAAAATAACAACAGATAAAGCATATACTTATCCTTGTGATTTCTGAGTTATATGTGATCACTAATCAAGGTGCATCCTATTAGCATGACAAATAAGGGAAAAATTACAATGGGTTTACCTTTGAAACAGGTGAGAAAAGAATTCCATGGATAAGGAAGTTTGCATCATTGTCGCCAAGTTAGTCCCACTTTGGATGAACTCCTAAGAAATATCTTGGTTATCAACTAATCATTGCACCAGATCTGTAAGTTTTGGTATTGAACACCAGAAGAAGTGTCTTGGTACTTTATTTCCCTGCAAGCATTCAAGAAACCGTTGTTGTAAATGAGACTATATGGAATCGAAAAAGAATTTTAATTGTATTTAACAATGTGTCATTATCAAGCCATCCAGTGCATGAACATAGTTATTTAAT